AAACACAGTGATGACTGTGATGATTTGTATGTATTACAGTGACGCCGTTATCAGCACTGTGATGACCGTATGTTATGGCCTACTTAACGGTCTAGTTATCTTCTCTGTGATTGGAGTTTTATCCCACGAGAGCAACGTACCTATCAACAAAGTTATAACATCAGGTTTGTCTTCTGAAATTCTTTTGATTCTAGCGAAATCATATTAAAATTAATGGAACACAAATAATTTGATATAATGGAAAGTGCTCAACTTTTTGCTGAGTAAACGGATTGATATATAGTTTACTTAAAACAACATAATATTTTTAGCTCACCTGCCCGAAGAGCAAGTAAGCTATGGGTGGGTCTGGCCCCCTGGGGGCTGAGGGGCGGGGCCCAATAGGGAACACATAGTAAATTCTTTAAAATCCTTCTTCTTCTGTAGGAATGAAAGGATTTGTGCCATATTTGGTCCGAAGCATCCTTGGGTAAAGGGAAACAATTTTGTATAAACCGGGGGTCTGGCCCCTGAGGGGCCTGAGGGGCTGGTCCCAATAGGGGAAATATAGCAACTTCTTTAAAATCCTTCTACTTCTGTAGGAATGAAAGGATTTGTTCCATATTTGGTCTGAAGCATCCTTCGGTGAAAGGGAACCAATTTTGTAATAACAAGGGGTCTGGCCCCCAGGGACCTGAGGGGCAGGGCCAAAAGGGGGCAATTGTGCTATATTGATTTAAGCGATTTCTTCTCTGGAACTAAGAGATGGATATCAACCATATTTGACTGGAAGCTTCCCTCGGTAGCGGAGATTTGGGCTGACCCCCAGGGGCCTGAGGGGCTAGTCCAAAAGGGGGCAATTTGTCTATATTGCTATTAACGACTTCTTATGTAGAATTATGGCATGGATATCGATCATATTTGGTCAGAAGCATTCATGAAAAGCAGGGATTCAAAATTGTACATTGTACAAATGCCCCCCCCCCCCCCNCCCCCCCCGTGCTAAGGGATGGGGGCAAAAACAGTTTTTATTACTTGGAAATGGTTGAGATCCCCACGTTATAACCGTATATACAATTGTGGAGTATAAAGAGAAGCATGCACATTTGCTTCCAGTATGGCCTAGGGTCTGGCCCCACCCTTTGAGACATAGTCCCTGGGTCATAACTTTGAAACGGTTGAGATCCCCACCCCAGAACTATATATACAAGTGCTTGGCATAAAGAGACAAAAGTAGTCATGGTATTAGAATAGACCCTGGGGTCTGACCGAACCCCTAGGGACCTAGTTTCTTAGTCACAGCTTGGAAACAGTTGAGATCCCCACCCTATAACCATGCATATATACAATTGCTGATTATAAAGAATTGAATGCACATATGCTTCCAGGATGGCCTTGGGGTCTGCCCCACCCTTGCAGAATTAACCCCTTGGTCATAACTTTGAAACGATTGAGATCCCCACCCCAAGACTATAAAAACAAATGCTGGACAAAAAGACACGAATGCAGTCATGATGTTAGAATTAATACTGGGGTCTGGCCACAACCTTAGGGATCTAGTTTTTGAGTCACGTCTTGGAAACAGTCGAGATCCCCACCCCATAACCATACATTAAATTGCTGGGCATGAAAAATCTAATACAGACATACTACAAGGATTGACCTTGGGGTCTGGCATATTCCCTTGGATCTCATTTGGAGAATGTTTTGCCATGATTGCTTAGATATCCAGGTGAGCGATACAGGCCCTCTGTGCCTTTGTTTAGATTTCTGTCAGGTAATTTAATACAGTTAATGGTATGAGTTAACTTTTGTAAATTAAGAGTAAATTGATGCGAAAAGAAAATCCCTCTAAGATAAATTATGGTTAGATTTTAAATCCTTGTAGTGTTTCCTTGTAGTGTTTTCATTTTCCTTCCCAAATAAAGTTCACAACCTACTTATTAGAGGTGGCGTTTATTCCAAACTGGTAATCATCTTTGTTATGTCGTGAATATTTTCTGGATGTTTTTCTAAACCATCACGTTTTTAACATATATTGTCTAAATATTCAATTGGAATTATCTGTTCCTACCATGTTTACAATAACGATAAAATAAATGTAATCCTTAACACTGCTTTAGCTGCAAGCATTGTTGCGGCGATTTTGAATTTTGATTTATTATTTTTCATCAGGTATTATTTTGGTTGATTTCTCGTCTTAAATGCTGGTATACCATTTGAAAATAAAAAAAAAAACACATGCTTTTTATCGAACACAATTAGGTAATCGTCAACTTACATATATAGTATATCGAACGACAACGATGTGATAGTTACAATTTCGAGTTGGGAGTCATTTTTTAACATGCTTTTGTTTAAAAATCTTAACCAGCTTACCAATATATTGCCAAACGTATTCTGGACCTCACGGAAGAAACGGCCGATTCACAAGTAAAGACACGGGAGTCAGAAATTCTGTAGAAAATGAGAAGATAAACTTCCAAACCATGGACAGTGTGATATGTATGCTGTTTTGACTGCTGTTTTAGGTGGGTTCTCCCTGGGATTCGTGGCCTATCCCCAGGCCATCACCTACTTCCCCCTGCCACAGGTCTGGGCCGTCCTGTTTTTTATTGTTCTACTGCTACCCGGCCTGGATTGTCAGGTAAGACCGGACAAGAGTGTCTAGTTTACTGATTTCATACTACAAACGAAATACTCTTAACAACATCTGCATGTTATAATATGACCATATTTAAATTAATGGGCGAGAAAAAATGTCTTATCAACCGGAATAGTACAAACTCCACCAGTACCATAGCTGAACGAAACAATCAACAGTTTGTACTATTCACGAGGAATTACTTGAATAAATACAGTTTAAATGAAACAGATATGGCGGAACGAGCCATGCGTACTCATTTTCGCGGATATCAGTTAAACAAAGCACCTCAGGTATTTTTCAAAACAACAATAAAGAAAATATCAATAGGAAAAACTTGTACTACAACATAATCCGCCTGAAGAAGCCCTAGAAGGCAGATAGGCCTAGCTGACAATCTGAAAGATTTTTGTTTTTATTCTATATTTTCCTTCGCAGGGACTTATTCATTTATTATCTATTATATATATATTACGCTTTTCCCCAGACCACCCTCATGGAGCCGGTTCTTTGTGTAATAGAGGAAAACTTCCCTAAAACCATCGGCAGAAGGCGAATCCCCCTTCTTACCGGCCTCACCATCTTCACGTTCATCTGCGGCATACCACTGGCTACCCAGGTAACATGGCTTTGGCGATACCACTCTCGTCACCAATGTTAAATATCTCAATTTATGTTTTCAAATAACCACTAATTTAGAAATTATCTGAAAGACTGGTACAGTACTTTGTATTGTGTTGTACTATAGGCCA